TTCCCAGCAACTTATTGAGTATTTTCTTTGTGAAATTAGTCGAGGAACTTATATGAACTTAGTTATCCTTCTTGCATGGAAAGATCATCTAGTTCTACTTAAAACAGAATTAGAATACTTGGAGCAAGTTCCTAGACGAATCCGAAATGATAGTACTTTTCAGGATAGTTGCCTTCCATGTGAAAAGAATCGCAAAAATCGACTTTGACAGTGACTGGTTCGAGTTATAGAAAATTTGATTACAACAATCAATAGGGCTCGTCGAGTTCTACTTGGAAAAAGAAGAGGGGATTTGAAACAGATTTCTGGACGAACCCGGAATGGAAATACTAGAGTCTAGTGATAAGTTCGCCTACAATCAATATTTGAGATGCCATAGCTCGTTCGAAGGGATATTGAAATCACTTTTTTGCTCTCAAAAGTCATTTCTACGAAGAAAATCAAGAAAAGCAAAACACGCTTAAAATTATTGTCTGTCACATTCACGAAAAAGGCGTATTAGCGAACTTAGAAAAAGTTGGGTTGCTTCAAAAAATCTTAGAGCTTTGTTCTCGAGGAAATAAACTCAAAATCTTCTGCGCGAAACCTTTTTTCATCTTGTCTCGAACATCAAAAGTTTTCCCACAAAATGTTTCGAATTTGTGTTGGCATGAGGAACAATTTCATATTTCGTACATTTAGTGAACATTTTTTTAGTTTGGTAATACACCTATTTTTAGGATGCACATTATTTTGTCTGAATGAAAGGTGAATCATCCACAAATTATGAAATCTGCAACTTCTCAAGCATCGATTCTCTCAATACATGAAATTAGAAACAACGCCTATAGGCCAAGTTGAAATTTGATGTTTTTTTGTATCCATTTTTATTTCATGATGATATGTTCTCTTGTTTTTAATATACTATAGACTGATATAGATTGTTCATGTATTGACCATTATCATACTCTAGTGGTTCTCTATCTATACTTTATATCTTAGATTTTTATCCTTTTCTGTGTGTGTATATATGATTTTGAGTGTAGTGATTTTCACATACCCAGGTCAAAGGTGAGCCATCGGATTCTCTCGGATCTGTTTCAGTCTGCTGAATTCCGAGGACTGAATCCGATAGGATTTCGATTATCGGAATCCGATCGGATATCAATCGATTCCTATAATTTCTGACTTATTCCGATTATCCGATTCCGATGAAATCCGAAGGATGAATCCTATGAAGTTCAGTTATCAAAATCCAGTCGATTTCCTCCGTTTCCGACAAGTTAGTCGTCGAATATTTTGATGAAAGGAGCTGTTAAATATGTTTTAACATTTTGTAAAGACCATATCGAATTGTAATTATTTTCTCATCTTCAAGAGAGAAACCACTGAGCAAGTTGAGTCTTGTTCAAAGTTTCTCATATAAAAATAATTGAACCAATTGTTTTTCTTTGAGAAATGACTGGTTCTTATTAAGTGAAGATAATAAGAGTGTCATGTATTCCAGAGATGGAACCAATCTAAAATTTTTCAGACCGGTACCGGTACCAGTTCCATCTCTGTGTATTCCTTTATTAAGATTGACTTTTTTTGAAAGAAAATCCAAATGACATTTATATCTTCCTGTTTCGTCTCTTCTCTTTTAACTGGCTTTCTGAGTAGCAACGTCTTTTGTTATTCACATGTCCTTTTTCTATGATTTTGTTCTACCTTGTCGTACTCGCTTTCTGCTTATCGATTTTTATTTTCAATATATTGATGCCAAGTCTTTTCTCTCTATATTATCGATGCCATCAAAATTACTGCACTTTCCGCAATTAATCAGCAATGTTTCAACAAGTTTCAAAAGTAACTATTAATTTATATAATAAATAATTATATATATATATATGCTCTCAATCAAGCGTAAGCGTTATGGTTAAGATAAAAATGTCTTTTTTTAATTTTATTTTGGTTCTCTGATAGCATAAATGAATGGTAAATACTATTACCAAAAATAAGTATTTCTTTTTTATTTTACTAAGAAGATCTAATGGTCTAAATCAAAGGTAAGCATTATTATTACAAATACATATTTCTTTTTTATCGTATTTACATCATCTAATGCATCTAATGGTCTAAGTCAACTGTAGGTATTGTTCTTAGAAATAAATATTTTTCTTTTATTCTATTTAGGTTCTCTGATAGTATAAATGAATGGTGAGTATTATTATTTAAAAAAATATGTGTTTTATTACATTTAGATCATTTGATGATGTAAGTGGGCAGCAAGTATTATTATATTAAGAATAAATATTTGTTCGTATTGTATTTGGTTCATTTTAATAATATGTCGGTACTTTCTTGTATTTGTTACTTGATAAGGGAATAATAAGGGTAGACCCCAGTTTTTGCCTTGTTGTTATAAGTCTAATGATACAATATATATGAAAATTGATGGTCAATAGTAAATAGAATAGATATAGAATGCTGATTTGAATTCTACCGGATCCTGTCGGACCTCTTAATTTTCGTCGTAGAATCCGATACGATCTGGTCGAATTCATTCATCGGAACTCGTCGGATCTCTCAGAATCCTTTCTCCGTTTAATGTTCGTCGGATTTTGGGTCACTGGATTCTGGATTCAATCCGATAGAATCCGGTCGGATTGAGTCGGAATCCGACAAGATACAATGATCGAATTTCTCGACCTGGGTACTATTACAAACTTGATTTTTATTTGTATATTAAACCTTGTTTAACATGTTTGTTATATGGTACATATACATAACACTATGTACTAATATATTCTGGGATAAATTTTTCTATTATGCTTTCTTTTTTTTATAATGGCATATAAATTTCACTTGTTGACATAGTCGTTATGGTCTCGGTACCAACAGGTAAAATTTAAATGCCATTATAAAAAAAGGAAAGCAAAATAGAAAAAGTTATCCCGGAATATATTAGTACATAGTGTTACGTATATGTACCATATAACAAACATGTTAAACAAGGTTTAATGTACAAATGAAAATCAGGTTTGTAATAGTATGTGAAAATCACTACACTCAAAATCATATATACACATATAAAAAAGGATAAAAATCAAAGATACAAAAGCACAGATAGGGGACCACTAGAGTATGATAATAGTAAATATATGAGCAATATATATCAGTCTATATATAGTATATGAAAAAAAACAAGAGAACATCATCATGAAATAAAAATAAATACGAAAACAAATCAAGGTTTAACTCGGACTTTTGATCGATCGGACTATAGTCAACATTCACAAAGAAAAAAATATTGAAGATTTATTCATTCACAAAAAAAAATCAGATGATACGACGCTGTTTACCTTCGCTGGTTTTAGTAGTATACTATCAACTGTATGTTTGCTTACATGCCTGATTTATTCAGGCGTGAATTTCTTATTTTTTTCTCGTTTGAATGGTACAATTCGCTCGCAATTTTCATATTTCGTTTCATCGCCATGTGGTTTGTATATCTGTATCTATGTTATTTTTTCTTCTTGTTGTGCTTCATTTTGTGTTATTGACGATTAGAAAAAGCAATGCGTGCTCAGAGACACGATTTATCTAGATATTCATACTTTCTTTTCTTTTTCCAGTCGAATAACACAACGAATATGTAATGTTTATGTTTCATTTCATCGTCACGTGATTTGTGTGCATTTGTTGTTATGGCGTTTTTCTTCTTGTTTTTGTGTGCCTTTTTCTTTTGTTAAGAATGGAGGTAATTCTCAATTGATCTCCTGCACTGAATGTAATAAATGGAGAAAATAGTCAGCGTTCAGTGCTCTATAAATCTTGAAAATTCATACAATGCAAGGATGATTATTGTGATCATAGAAAAGATCCCGCGAAATTACACCTTGATGCAAATAAAACAAAGCCTAGAAAAATTTTAAAAAAGCACTGTTCATGACTGATGTGAATTTGAAACATAGACGACTGATTTCAAAAACTGCATCGTTTACTCTGAGAACACTATGTGTATGAGTTGTCTAATTCGAGTTCGACCATAAATGAATCTTCGGTTGCTACATCTTATTTCAAAAATAAATAATAAATAATTCGAATGAGTACACTCTAAAAAAGGGTTCATTCCGCCGTTACACTGGAAGATCCTTTTCGGTTTCGTAAAAGAGGTGGTTTTGTACCCAACCTTCTCTGAAAAATGGTAAAAAAGGCTTCGTAAGAAAGATTTTGTACAAAATCTTTTTTCTCAAACTGAACGAAAGGTTTCGCAATCAAGGTTCAGTATAGAACCATTTGAGTGGTTACTGAAAAAGATTCTGTATATTTGCCTTTCAGCGAAATCTTTACTAACGCCTGCCAATACGATAGGAAATGAGAAAAATAGCAGAAACACACTCGCCCACCGAGTCACTACGTCTCACTTATGCCATTCAGGTATTGAATAATGTCATCTATACTCAAGAAAGTGAATTTTGTCGACCATAAATGACATCATATAACATCCGAACGACAAGTAACTCGTTGTGACTTGGTGAGCAAGTGTGTCACTGTGGTGTGGATGTGGATATGAGTAAAAACACAAGTAAAACCCACATTCACACAGATACCCACACTTGGAATGAATTTTTGAGACTGATCAAGTTTATATAAACGTGATATTGTGGACGGTTCTATTGTAGATGAAAGCAAATCATCGTTTGGTCCTAAGTCATCACATTCAAATGTTGAAGTCATTGTAGATATTAATTCTGTTTTTTTTTGTTTTTTTTAATTATGGTGAATTTTATTCGTGACATCCGTACATTTTTTGTGATTTTTGTATAATTTTTTTCGGACGCTTACGAAAGATAGGAGTGAATAGAGAAGATTACGATAACAAACAGAGAAAGAATGACAAAGAAGCGAAAGCGAACAGAACAAAAATTGAAATCGAGATATTGATTACGAGGTTGCCGTCCATTGCTGTTCTTCCTTGGTTTATTCTTCCGATACCATATATCTTGACACTGAAGACACTGTACCGAGGAAAGGGATCAAACCTTCTGATATCTGACTAACAATGAGATGCATAGAGCCACCACGCCACCATCGACTATTGTAGATATCGATGATAATGACGTTCTTTGTTGTTCATACTTTCGTTCACCTTCATCTTCAACATGTTCCATGTTCATTTCTTTCCCATATCTTCCTGTTTGATTTTGTGGATAACATGGAGGTAATTGCCCATATGAATCACTTGGAACTGCTCCATATTGTTTATGAACATCAGGTAGCATTGGTTTATTTGTATATTGATCTGATGGTGATGAAAAATTATTCATATTAAATATTATTCCATCAGATCCTTGCATATATGAAGGAAACATATATTGTGATGGATATTGATGGCGTGAATTTATATTCTAAACAAAAAAAAAAAGAAAAATTTCAGATTATTTTTGAAAAGACAAAAAACATACGTATGGTTGTTTTGTAAGGAAGGTTGATAAATTTGTAGACATTTTAATTTCTCTTCCCGATGAT